ACACACACACACACACATATATATATATATATGTGTGTGTGTGTGTGTGTATTTTTTTTTACCCCAGCAATATTTTGTGATTCTTAGTGGCATATATTTTTTCAGATGTATCTATGTATTTTATGAATTTTGATCCTATTATACATGATGTTTTTAAAATTTCAATTTCTGATTAACATATAGATACTGATTTTTGTTTACTGATCTTGAATTCTGCAACCTTGTTACACTCACTTATTCTAGTAGCTTTCCTACAGATTTAATTGAGTTGTCTATATAAATAATCATGTTGTCTGCTAATAAAGACCGTTTTACTTGTTTCTTTCCAATCTGGATATATTTTATTTCCTTTTTCTCTTTATTTCATGGGCTAGAAGCTGCAATACATTGTTGAATGGAAATAGTGAGAGTGGGCATTCTTTCCTTGCTCCTGATAATGGGGGGAAAATATTCAGCCTTTCTCTATTATGTATGATATTTAGCTGTAGGGTTTTCATAGAAGCCCTCTGTCATATTGAGGAAGTTCCCCTCTCTTGCTGAGACCTTTTATCATCAATAGATGTTGGATTTTGTCAGTTGCTTTTCTGTTGATCTATTGAGATGATTACATGTTTTTTCTCTTTAAGTTTATTAATGTGGTAAATTACACTGATTTTCAAATGTTCAACCAAACTTACATTCTTGGGGTAAACCCTACTTACTTATGATGTATTATTTTCTTTAAAAATGGATTACAGGGGCGCCTGGGTGGCGCAGTCAGTTAAGCGTCCGACTTCAGCCAGGTCACAATCTCGCGGTCCGTGAGTTCGAGCCCCGCGTCGGGCTCTGGGCTGATGGCTCGGAGCCTGGAGCCTGTTTCCGATTCTGTGTCTCCCTCTCTCTCTGCCCCTCCCCCGTTCATGCTCTGTCTCTCTCTGTCCCAAAAATAAATAAACATTGAAAAAAAAATTAAAAAAAAAATGGATTACAATTTTTAAAATTATTTTTTTAAATTGTGGATATAAGTATATAGTTTGTCATTTTAATCATTTGTAAGTATTACAGTTCAGTGGCAATAAATCCTTTCTTTCACACTGTTGTGTAGCCATCATGATCATGTATCCACAGAACATTTTCCATCTTAAGTACTGAAACTTTATACCCATTAAATAATAACTCTCCATTCCCCTCTCCTCCCAGCTCATGGAAGCCACTATTCTGCTTTCTGTCTCTATGAATTTGACTATTCTATGTACCTCATTTGAGGTCATCCAGTATCTGTCTTTTTGGGCCGGCTTATTTCACTTAGCACGATGTCTTCAAGGTTCATCCTTGAATGATGTGTCAGAATTTCCTTGCTTCTTCGGGCTGAATAATACTGTATTGTATGTATAAATCACATTTTATTTATCTATTTATCCAGTGATGGAAACTTAGATCACTTCATCTTTCGGGTATTGTAAGTAATGCTGCTATGTATTTCTATATATTATTGGACTTGATTTGCTAATATGCTGTTAAGAATTTTTTTTAAGTTTTATTTATTTATTTTGAGAGAGAGAGAGAGAGAGAGAGAGAGAGAGAGTGCAAATGAGGGAAGGGCAGAGAGAGAGGTAGAGAGAGAATCCTAAGCAGGCTCCATGCCCAGCATGGAGCCCAAGGTAGGGCTAGATCTCATGAACTCTGAGATCATGACCTGGGTGGAAGTAGGGCTCTTAACCGACTGAGCCACCCAGGCGCCTCTATGCTGTTAAGAATTTTTATATCTATGTTCATAAGGGGTACTTGTATATTTTCTTTCTTGTAATGCCTTTATCTTTTTTGCTGTTAGAATAATGGTGACCTCATAGAATGAGTTGGAAAGTATTCTCTCCTCTTTAATTTTCTGAAAGTGTTGAAATCTTGTGTAGAATTGGTATTTATTTCTTAAATGTTTGGTAGAATTCACCAGTAAAGCTATCTGGGTCTGGAGTTTTCTTAATGGGAAAATTTTACTATGAATTCAATCTTTTTAATAGAGACAGGGGTATTCAGGTTATCTGTCTTTTTTGAGTTTGTGTCTTTCAAGAAATTTGTCCATTTCATCTGTTAAGATGATCAAACTACTGCCCATGAGCTAAATCCTTTTTGCTGCCTGGTTTTGGTAAATAAAGTTTTATTGGGGTACAGCTATACCCATTCATATATGTATTGTCTGTGGCTCTTTTTGTGCTATAGTGGCAGAGTTGATTAGTTAAAAAGAGATGGTGTGGTTCATAGAACCTGAAGTATTTATATCTGATCTTTTATAGAAAGTTTGCTAATCCCTTAACTTTTCAAATTTATTAGCATAAAATTGTTCATAATATTCCCTTACTATTATGCTTCTCATGTCTGTGGAATCTATAGTGATATTACCTTTTTCATTTCTGACATTGTTTATTTTTTTTTGGACACTGTTCATTTTTATTTCATTGATTTCCACTCTCATTATTTCTTTTTTCTGTTTATATTAGGTTTTATTTGCTCTTTTCTAGTTCTTAAGGTGAAAGCTGAGGTCATTGGTTTGAGACCCTTCTTTCTAGCATAGGTGTTTAGTGATATAAGTTTCTCTTCAGGTATTGCTTGAGTAGCATCCCACAAATTGTGATATGTTGTGTTTTCACAGAATGGGATCAGGGAGGTTTTCAAAGTTACTGGCAATGTTCTGTTTCTTAAGCCGGGTGGGAAGTACATGAGTACATTTATTTGTGCATTTATTCTTTGTACTTTACACATATAAATATTCTTCTGTGTATATTCAGTATTTCACAGGAACTTAAAAAAGTTTTTTAAAATTATGTTTTAATTCCAGTATAATTAACATACAGTGTTACACCACAGGGAAATTTTAACTTAAAAAAAAATTTTTTTTAATGTTTATTTATTTTTGAGACAGAGGGAGACAGAGTGCGAGTGGGGGAGGGGCAGAGAGAGAGGGAGACAGAATCTGAAACAGGCTCCAGGCTCTGAGATGTCAGCACAGAGCCCAATGTGGGGCTCAAACCCACAAACTGTGAGATCATAACCTGAGCCGAAGTCAGGCACTCAATAGAGTGAGCCACCCAGGCGCCTCGGGAGCTTTTAACTTTTTAAAAGTGTGAATGGGAAGCAAGGATGCAATCATCTTGTGGGTAGACAACTCTTTTGAACAGTTTTGTTGTACAGAGAAACAGAAGAAGGGGCTAGTAATTAAAAAATGATGTAGGATAGGGACACCTGGGTGGCTCAGTCATTTTAAGCATCCTACTCTTGATTCCGGCCCAGGTTATGATCTCACAGTTCATGGGTTCAAGCCCTGCATCGGGTTCTGTGCTGACAGCGCGGTGCCTGCTTGGGATTCTTTCTCTCCTTCTCTCTCTGCCCCTCTCCTGCTCACTCTCTCTCTCTCAAAATAGATAAACAAATATTAAAAAAAATGATGTGGGACAAAGGAGAGATTCTTCTTGTTTTGTTTTAAAGATGGGTGATTCCAAAACAAATTTGCTGATTCAAAGGAGAGTCATAAACTTTATAAAACCATACCAGCAGGTATAAAAGTCATATCCTGTTGTGAAAATTGATGTTTTTAAACAGAGCTTTTGCCTTAGAATAATGAAAACACCTATATTTTTTCCTTAGGTAGCAGTTTGGGTTTTGCTTCAGTATAGAAAACAAATACTTCATTAAGTCCCAAGAATTCCATACCAAAATGGTGGCCAAATCATCTTGGCCTAAATTTTTTTCAAATCGGATGTTACAATTTATTACCTGTCCCTATACATGATAAATAATTACCTTTTGCATGTAGTCATAAAGGAATAAGATGAAGGTGGGAAGAATGTCTACTTTTACAAACAAATAAGCTGGTTGCAGCCAGTTGTCTGTACCATGCCTAATTTTTTAATGGTATGTAATTTCAGGATGCTTCATAAGACATCTAAGTAATCACTGAACTATGCAACTTACTTTATTTCTGTGTCTACTTAGGTATATTTTAGATGTAGGCCATATAATAGGTATTAGAACACACCTGAATAGCTAATTGCTTTTTTCTCTATTTTTTTTGTTTGTTTATTTTGTTTAATTATTTTTCCCTGTATGGAATGTCTTGCCAATCTTTTTTCCTCCAATAGGTTGTGTGGTTCCAGGAGCAGGTGCAGTTGAAGTGGCAATAGCTGAAGCTCTTGTTAATTACAAGCATAGTGTAAAAGGAAGAGCTCGTCTTGGAGTACAAGCTTTTGCTAATGCCTTACTCATTATTCCTAAGGTACAACTATCCTAATGGCTAAAGAACAACTGGTTAGATCTAAGGGTGTTGGATTACAAATTGCCCACATTATCTAACACCAGAGTAGAGAGAGTTTTAATTTGCATTTCCCCACACAGTTTTGTCTAAGATATTTTACAGCAAAAGCAGGGAAACTTTTGGGATAATAGCTCAGAATCCTTGTCAGAGTTTCCTGAAATCACTAAGTTACCCCCTTGCTAATCTCTGAGCTCCAAAAGTGGAAGTAAGTCCAGAAATTTCCTTCAAAAATGGTTTATGATTAATCATAATGAAAAAGTTTAGAACTTAAAATTTAACTAGACTTTTGCGTAGATTTTTGTTTTGTTGGTGGTATCCAAAGTATTAATTATTATTTTAAACTGTGGGAATGAGAACTCCAAATACTAGCATGCTTTTGTCATTTTCATTATAATTCCTGGAAAAGGAGAGAAACCAGGTATTTTTTCCATGTGTCAACAAAGGAAACAGACTACCATTCCTTTTCCTTTGCCTTAATCTGGTTGTGAACCACTTAGAAACACAGAAGACCATGTCAAAGATGTTATTACCATGAATTAAAAACATTAAGAACAATGCTAGCGGCGCGCCTGGGTGGCTCGGTCGGTTAAGCGTTTGACTTCGGCTCAGGTCATGATCTCATGGTCTGTGAGTTCGAGCCCTGCGTTGGGCTCTGTGCTGACAGCTCAGAGCCTGGAGCCTGTTTCAGATTCTGTGTCTCCCTCTCTCTCTCTGCCCCTCCTCTGTTCACGCTCTGTCTCTCTCTGTCTCAAAAATAAATAAACATTAAAAAAATTTTTTTAATAAAAAAATAAAAAAAAAGAACAATACTAGCAAAGTCTCTTTGGTAATTGCTTTAAATTATTCACAATTTGTGGAATCTTTGAGAATCAGATATCTATTTTTCTCTTTCCCCAAAACAGCAAAGTCGGTTAAGTAATGATCCTGTAGTTGACACAAACTGGTAAGCCTGGTATACAGTGGTGGCTCCTTACTCATCAGCTGTTGGTTTTGTACTACTTGGAAATAAACCTGGTCTGGAGTGCTATTAGCTCCATTCCTGTTGTCACAGGTCATGACTCTCTTCATGTTGGTAAGGGACACAAGCATCCTGCAAATATGAAGGGTTCTTTTAGCAGGTATCTAGGAAAAGCTGGAAAATGTGTGGCTAGAGGGACGAGAAGAAACCATACCATTCTACTTCTTTACTTTATCTATCTATCTATCTATCTATCTATCTATCTATCTATCTATCTATGTATTTATTCTCTACACCCAATGTGAAGCTCAAACTCACAACCCTGAGATGGAGTTACACACTCTTCCAACTGAGCCAGCCAGGTGTCCCTCTTTCCATTTTTTAAGAGATCTTTTGCAAGGAGGGAAATTACTGTAGTGGGGTGGGGATGGGGGTACTATAATGTCCTCAGAATTTAGTGTGATGTACATACGGAAAATGTTTCAGTAAATATAAAAACTGCTAGAGACATAAAATACTAATTTGTTTTAGATTAAGGACAGAATTCTTCAAGGGTACCTGGGTGGCTCAGTTGGTTAAGCATTAGGCTCTTGATTTTGTCTCAGGCCATGGTCTCACAGTTGTGAGATTGAGCCCTGAGTTGGGCTATGTGCTGGGCATGGAACCTGCTTAAGATTCTTTATTTCCCTCCCCCTTTGCCCTTTGCCCGCTTGCTTGTGTGCATGCACTCTCTCTCAAAGAATGGAATTCTTTAAAAGGAGGGGATTACTGTATTATAAGTGTGTTTTCACAAGACTAGAGAGCAGTGCCTTATTTATTATCTTTGATATTCAAATATATGTGTGAAGGTATTTCATACATATATTTATTATTATTTTTATTCCTTAAGGTTCTTGCTCAGAATTCTGGTTATGACCTGCAGGAAACTCTAGTAAAAGTTCAGGCTGAACATTCAGAATCAAAACAACCTGTTGGCATAGACTTGAATACAGGTAAGAAAGCAAAGAAAAATTAGCTGCTCAGTAAAGAAAGAGGTTATACTCCAGTGACCCAGAAGTTTGCAATTTAAAAAGAGAGGGTGGTCAGGGTAGAGCTAATTGAGAATATGTCTGTAGAAAGAAATCAAAGGAAGTGATGAAGTAGCCATGTTGGGGAACTAGGGAAAGAGTATCCTAGGCAGAGGGAACAGCCAGTGGAAAAGCCAGTGTTTGAAGTTTTTGAGGAGGAGGAAGGAGATGAGAGAAGTAATAGAAAGATCATGCAGGGACATGTGGGCCAGTCCAAGGACTTTGACTTTGACTGTAGTGAGATAGGGAGCAATTTTTAGTAGAGGTGGGACATGGCCTAATTATGTTTAAAAGGATCACTGTGGTTGTTCTGTGGAGGGAAGTCCACTGAACAGCTGGAAGGTTGAAATTGCCATTAACCTCATTGAAGAACTGTGGGTGCAGCAGGTTGTGTAGGGGGAGGTCAGCACTGAGTTTTGGCAAAGCTAAGTTTGAAGTGTCTTTGACTTTCAAGTGAAACAGACAATTGGAAGTATGAGTATGGAGCTCAAGAAATAATTCTGGGTTGGGGGCACTTGGGTGGCTCAGTTGGTTAAGCACCGATTTCCGCTCAGGTCAAGATCTTCTGGTTCGTGAGTTCGAAGCCACCCTGGGCTCTGTGCTGACAGCCTGGAGCCCGGAGCCTGCTTCAGATTCTGGGTTTCCCTCTATCTCTGCTCCTCCCCGCCTCGCACTCTGTGTGTGTGTGTGTCTCAAAAATCAATAATTAAAAGAAAAACTTAAAAAAAAAAAGGTCTGGATTGGAGATAAAAACTTGAGAGTTGCCAAAGTGCACATGGTTTAAATCAAGAAGACTGGATGAAATCGCCTAAGGAGTGAGTGTAGAGAGAGAAGGAAAGAATCCAGGACTGAGCTTTTGGGTATTCCAACAGAATAGGAGCCACTAACAAAAAAGAAAAAAGTCAGGCTGAACATGGTGGCCTGGGAGGCAAGTGAGAAAGAGTAGTGAGGAGGCCGTGTTAAATGTTGCTGATAGATGAGGCCTGAGAACTGGCCACTGGATTTGATTTGATACCATGGAGTTCATTGTGACCTGGACACTATAGTTTTGTTGGTACATTAAGTACTGTTAGAATATATAACCAGTATTAACAGAATATATCAAGATTGTATTGTTAACATTGTTTTTATTTGCAGGTGAGCCAATGTTAGCAGCTGATGCAGGAGTTTGGGATAACTATTGTGTGAAAAAACAACTTCTTCACTCTTGGTAAATTCATATTAATAAAAATAAAGACTTTTAGGGACATAATAACATTAAAACTTGTCTATTATTTTTACCACTCTATAGTAGAAAAATGGTTAAGTGTATGAAAAGGTGTGGTATCCAGTTATTAACACTAGCTTCTGTCATTTTTTCAGTCCCTTTTCCATTTTAATTCTAGTAGTGTGATATATAAGAAATGTTTATCTTACTGTTTATTTGAGGGGGGAGGGAAAGAGGGAAATTAACTAAAATAGTACCACATGCATAGGGGGGAAAGGCAAATGATGTGCCAAAAATGAGCTCAGTTTTGCTACAATTTAAAATCAAACTTTTACTTTATCAGCAAAGGAGTTGAAATTACAATACAAGAGTTGATGTTTGTATTTATAATAGCTTTGTCTCATAAGATCTCATACCAACATCATTGATGAACAAAGTACTTTTAGTAGCTAAAGATTGCTGGGGGAAAAGATGGGAATGGGTTGGTAGACTCTACTCACCCTATTATCTTTTTCCTCAGCACAGTGATTGCCACCAACATTCTCCTGGTTGATGAAATTATGCGAGCTGGTATGTCTTCTCTTAAAGGGTGATTGAGTTCAAAACCAACTCTTCTGGAAGCTGAGATTTAGTATACCTTATATCCAACTACTGTTATATACTGAGCCATTCTCAAGTTTTGCACAATAAATCCAGTTTATATTTGTTGGTCTTAGCAGTCTCAATAATACTTAATCAAAGTATAAATAATACAAGAAATATTTTCACAGTAAAGGAATAATAGTGAAAATATTTGTTCTTAAGAGTTCTAACATTTGGGGCACTTGGCTGGCTCAGAAGAGCATGTGACTCTTGATCTTGGGGTTGTGAGCTCGAGCTCCACATTGAGGGTAGAAATAACTTAAATAAGTATATATAAAAAAAAGATTTCTAACTTCTTACCCTTTATTGTATGTATAATATTGTGAAATAGTAGAAATATATATTTGGTCTTCATCCTCAGTTCCTGGCACAAGAGCTTTTAAAACTGTAATTTCCTGGGGCGCCTGGGTGGCGCAGTCGGTTAAGCGTCCGACTTCAGCCAGGTCACGATCTCGCGGTCCGTGAGTTCGAGCCCCGCG